ATATATATTTAAAATTAATAATAAATTATCTTGATAATACTGTATTTGAACCTACTGTTCAGACAACCTAAACTCAATAAATAATTTTAGTGGTCAAATTTGAAATTTCATAATAAATAACCAAATTTTAGAATTGATATACTGTAATTACTTTGAAAGAATTATTTTTATATTATTTGGTGAAACTCGATTGCATGCACTATATAATAGCGACTCTTTAAACAGCTTATTTATTATATCACTTTTTTCTTTATACAGTCAGACCTCTCTAAATGCATAGCCGAGGAGGCCAAAATCATGCATTTGGAGAGATATTGTATTAGAGAGGTAAAAATCTACGTATAAGTGTTATATGAGTTGGGTTAAATAAGGCCATACATTTAGAGATTTAAGTTTAGAAAGTTAAGATTGTTTGTTTACTACATAATTTTAACTAAACCGAGATTAAGCCGACTTTAATTATATCGAATTATTAATGTATCAAATTTTAAAATATACACAGTAAATATGTGAACAATTTATGAGAGGTATCATTTTATTAAGTGCAAAATTTTATGTTCTAAGTATTCGTTTGTACAAATTAAAGAGACAAAACAAAAAGCATTACCGCAATAAACTAAGCTAAGCAAAATAACCTATCTAAAAAAGATGGATTTTGACAAAAAAAAAAAAACGGGATTATTTAATAGCAATCCGACCTGTCGATCCTTGTTTTCCGCGAGGGATCTTTTATTAAAAAAAAAAAAAAAAGTTAATTTTTTTCAAAAAAAAAACTATAATTCACATATACCTTTATTTCGAGTAACCCATTCTCATATTTTGCTTCGATATCTTTTTGTTCGATGGTAAGATCTCGTGGCAAATAAACGTGTTTTCGAAAGCGACCTAGGCTACGTTCGCGAACACGGGACGTCGCACTTTCATAAGTAGCAGCGCGCTTAGATTCGCCTTGGACGATGAGTTCACGATCACGGAGGTCAATTGAAATATCTTCCCTAGGAACGCCCTGAAATAATAAAATGTTTTTTGAATAATTAATGCCAAAGCTTTTTAAAAGTAAGATAACGAAACTTACGGGCAAATCACAATGAATGATAAAGTAATCGTTGGTCTCAAAAACGTCTGTCGCAGGTCTACAAGTATAGATATTTGTATCGTAAAGCATTTTGATCAACAAAAAATAAAATCATAATATCAATTATAAAACAAAAACTTCCCTCCACACAACGTCTCCTTCCTTTTCTGTCATAACGCGCGACTCGACATGACGTGGTATGCGATCTTGAATTGGTGCACGACGCCGTGTTCCCCTGTCAGTCGTTCCATAGTCGCGATTTCCCCAACGGTCGGTAACATTACTAGGCCAATTAGTCCAACGGTCACTAGGATTATTCCACTCGTTCCAAGTAGTAGTATAAGGATAATTCAAATCAAAAGTTTGATCGTAGAAAGAATCGTAAGTTGGATCATTGAAAAAATCACGAAAGACAGACATGACGCTAAAGAATATTTATTACAAGAATATTTAAATTAGGATTGTGTGAGATACGTCCTTTTATATAAAATTTTACGATTTAAAAACTGCGTCATAATTGAGTCATTTAAAAAAATTGGTGTTTCTTTAACGTAATTTTTTTGTAATGGATGATATTAGCAGTTTTTATGTTATTCCATTCTAAATTATTTTTTTTACATATTATTTGCATCATCAATCACATAGAAGTAATCTTTTATCATTAACTATACCGTATTGACGATCTTATATCTCAACGTTTAAGATCAAAACCAAATCATTCTTAATCAAGTTAACTCTATATTGAACTGGTTCTCTGGGAATTTTTACTTGTTATAGAACGAGTTCGTTATACATGTTTTCTTTACACTGAAAATTTAAATACAAAGACTGATTACAAATATTTCTTTTTTCTGCGAGTTATGTAGAAAACATTAACATATTTGGTATGTTGATATGTTACAATAGCGGCATATTTTGGAGATTAAGTTTCGGGAAAAACTCTAAGATTCCATCAAAGCAGGTGTATTCATTAATTAAGGTCTTAAAATATTCGTTACGCTCTACCCACAGCATAGCACACATCGATATGAGATTGGGGTGTACAACATACGTACGTACGTATGTCTAATTACAAATATTGCAGACAACGCCAGGGCGTAGGATCGATTTTACTGTCACATGATTTTCCAACGTCTATTAGCCAATTAAAAATCAGGATCAAGTGTATCGTAAAAATTCAAAACACAAACTTTATCTCAAAATTTAGTCTAGTTAATCATCTTTAGAATTCTAACAAAAAATTTCCTTGTGCAATTTTGCTAATAATATTCTTCTTCTTAACTTTGATCTAAACTTTAACCCAAATATAAACGACATTTGTTTCCGACTATCACGTGACAGTACATCGATACTACGTCCATAATAAACCGGAATTTTTAGCTCTTTAAATAATTTATTGTCAATGAAGCTTGAAAAATGTGAAATATCAAGAAGCAAGTATAACTTAAATAGTTTTTTTAGAATCAAGTTTTTTGTTTTTCTATTTAATAAACTTTTCAAAATATTTAGTATCTAAATTAGAAGAGTATTTTAAAAATAAGTAGTAGTTAAAAAACTTTTTCAGGAAAAATTTTGTAAAAAAAATAAGCAATTTAGCTTATTTTCTCTAAAAGATTAACATATTGTTTATTTATTACTGTAAATCAGTTAGTATTGTTTACTTTTTATTTGTTATATAAATATATAAATATATATAAAATATAAATATATAAATTACATATTTTAGAAGGAATAATCTAGAAAAATAATGTTTTGAGATTAACAGTATAGATTTTTAACCTTTTTACAATATTAATGTTGAAAAAGTTAAATTTTTTTTACTATTAAGGATTTTTTATTTAAATATACTAATTATATAAATTAAAGTAGAAATTAGTTTAGATAGTAATATACAGTATAATTTTTATAATCTAACACAGATTTATAATTATAACTGTCTAGTATAAATAAAAAATCTTATTTTTTTTGTTTTTTCTTTAACTTCTTTTCTTTCTTGTTTATATATTTTACTATACTTCTCTATACTTCTGTATTTCTTTTAAAATAATTTTTTTTTCTTCTCTAAAAGATTAATATATTGTTTATTTATTACTGTAAATCAGTCAGTATTGTTTACTTTTTATTTGTTATATAAATACATAAATACTGTATATATACAGTAAAATATAAATATATAAAGATTAACATATTGTTTATTTATTACTATAAATCAGTCAGTATTGTTTACTTTTTATTTGTTATATAAATACATAAATATATATAAAATATAAATATATAAATTACATATTTCAGAAGAAATAATCTAGAAAAATAATATTTTGAGATTAACAGTATAGATTTTTAACCTTTTTACAATATTAATGTTAAAAAAGTTAAATTTTTTTTACTATTAAGGATTTTTTATTTAAATATACTAATTATATAAATTAAAGTAGAAATTAGTTTAAATAGTAATATATAATTTTTATAATCTAATACAGACTTATAATTATAACTGTCTAGTATAAATAAAAAATCTTATTTTTTTTGTTTTTCTTTAACTTTTTTTCTTTTTTGTTTATATATTTTACTATACTTCTCTATACTTCTGTATTTCTTTTAAAATAATTTTTCTTTTTCTTTTATTTTTCTCTAAGAAGATGTTATCAAATTGGCAATATTCTATTGTAAAGCAGTAATCAGACAAGTTTCTAATAAGATATTATCTTAATTAATTATAATTTACTAATGCAGCATATTGTTAATAAATACTTTAATAACATTAGTTAGATATGAAGTAGTTATAAAATATTAGGATTTAAGATTTAATATCATAAATTATAATAAAAATTGTAATTTTGTAATCTTCTATAAACCTAAGGCTTTATTAAACCTAATTATTAGCATGATCATCTAAGTTAAAAAAAATTAATATTTCAATAAAAAATATTAATATTGTTATATAATTAAAAGTTTAAAAATATAAATTTGTTAGATTGTTTTTTACAATAAAAAAATATTTTTAATTTTAATAAAAATTATTATAATTCTTTTTTTTGTAGTCAAGATTAATCTCTTTAGCTTTTCACTTTTATTAGATTGTAAAATCATGTGGTGTTCTTTTCAAAAGGATCCCAAACAAGTATATTCTAACAAAGGTACATTCTAATCATACTTGCATCTTTTGAGTATCTAATTTAAGTTGTTATAATTCTTTTTTTTTTTTTTTAAGGTGAGGTTTTGTCTTTATATTTATTGAATAATTTGTATTGAGAATCTATTAGGAAATTTTTTGGTTGATAAAATCAATAATTACAAATATTTTTACAAAAATAAGATTCAGACTATAGATATTAAAATTTAATTTATCTGCAACCTAAATCTACTAGAGTGGTTAAAAACCTACTTAGATTTTATAATTTATAATATTATTAGTAGATGTGCTATATTTTATCCAAGAAGTTAACCATGTATATACTTTTTTAATTGCTTTTCTAAGAGGTATTAAATGTGGGTGTTGTATTTTGTTTGATTCGATTTCTGTTTATATAGGTAGGTATATTGTGTTCTTGCTTCTAGCTTGATAACTTTGCACAATATAGTTTCCAAATTAAATTGTATATATTCTGAGATAATTGTAAGAATAGTTGAATAGTAATATTTGTTGCTGTTTTGTTAGAGTCTGTATACTCTCTAATAGTTTGTATAAGTATAATAGGTATGAATCCTTGTAGAGTTGTAAATATATTTGTGTTGGTTCTAGTACTGTATAAAGGTTAAGTAATAAACTTAGATAATAGATAAGTTTATTTTGTAGCTCTTGACATTGTATATTCATTATGTCAAGTCTGAAGGCTTGCAAAAATTGTTGTATTGTATTAGTAATGATTGTATTTAGATTAAATGCACTTGGGCATATAAGCTAATGCATTTGATTTTCATAAGAGTTATATGAAATGCAGTTAATGTCTGAAAAGTATTGAGAATATAGAGTATATAAGTTTGATAGTGTGGGTAATATATTAAACATAAGTTTAATTTTAAAAGTTTTTTCTTGGCAAAGTTTGAAGTTGATATAGGAGGATAATTTTTTGTGATTATTGTTTAAATAAAGCCAGATAGCATTCTAATCAATATGTGTAACAAAGAGTATAATATTTTTCATTTAGTGTTGGGAGGACCATAATGCTATTATATAGCTATTACAGATGTTTTTGATAGATCTACAAGTTGGTTGCTCAAATACATAAGTTGTATATTGTAAGTAATAAGATGGATTATAAATATTTTTGTATAAAAATTCAAGATTAGTTGTGTTATTTTAGTTTTTGGCTAAACTATCAGCTAAATTGTTAAATGTATTATTACTGTATACTGTAATTTTTTGAAGTTTAATTTTTAATCTGTAGGATTTAATAAGATTTAGTAGTGTATGCTAAATTGGCTAGTAGTTATATAAATATTGTTTGTTTGGTCCAGATAGTTGTTGAGCAAGTTTGTTAAACTTAGATATTATGGATTATGAGTTGGTATAGATGGTAATATTACTGTTTTGTGGATATATGCATATTGTGAAAAGGATTGCAAGTAGTTCAGTTTTGTAAGAAGAGGGCTAGAGTTGAATTGCAATAGAGTAATTATATAATACAATATTGTCAGCTGTTTGAATCCAACCTATATCTATTGTACATTACTCAGTAGTGATATCACTAACTAATTTGTCTTGTAGAATATTAGTTATATATATATTGTATTATTCATTGCTATTTGTTGCAGGGTTTGTGAAGATTGGTTGTTCTTAAAGATTTCAAAGACTGCATCATTATAGATTGTAACAGTTGGTAGTCTTAATATTGTAGTTGGATTATATAGTACAATTGAGTATATTGAGTCCAGTAGATTAGCATACAAATTGAGTTTGTTAGAAATATTGTTAATTGTTTTTCTGTATAAAAGTTTGTTAAATAAGTTGGCTAAAACATTTAATATATATGTATTTTTAATTCGATTAGAGTTTAGTGGATATTCTACATATATATATAGGTAGTGGATAGAGATTAGTGTGGGAATAGTCAAATTCATTTTGCCAATGTGTGATTGATATTGAGTCATTGTAGTAATTATATCTTCTAGCTTTCTCTAAAATTATATTATTGTTATTGTATAAGATTAACTAAGATTTGGATTTAGCCTTATAATAATCAGTATTGAAAGATAGAGTATTTGTATTTAATAGTTGTAGTTGAGTATTAATTAATCTGATTTGTTGATCAGTAATGATTATATTTTCTAGTGTTGTGAACTATAATGATTTATGACCTGTAGAGATGTATTGTAATCATATGAGATATATAACTAGTCAAGTAAAGATGTGTTATCATATAATATAAGTAGAGGTCTGATTCGGTCAAAAAATTTGTATTCGGATATTTATTTGTTCA